TTTAGATTAAATTGCTTTAAAAATGCAGAGATCACATGATCGTATAGCATGAGATCGAAAAAAATAAGAAAGGAAAATCTTTTCAAAAATATTTAAAATAATTTTTTTTACAAATTTCTTTAATTTTTATTCAAAGTTAAGAAGTTAAAGAGTATAAAAATTTTAGTTTCAAAATTTTTTTTGTATTTCTAAAAAAGAATCGTGCATTACTGGTGATGGTGCCCATTAATTTCTGCGCAACTGTTATTCCAATTTTTATGCCTTTGGTTGACCATGCCTTAAGCAACACTTGTACTGAATTAAAAGTCTTGCTTGTTATACGCAAATATCGTTTACCAATATTCCGACATTTTTCGATAGAGCGAAATTTGGTGGATTGAGCTTTTTAGGTACAAAATTAACTTTTTTCAATTTATACCATTCCAAAGTCTTTTTAGCATAGTGGCACGAAACTAAGTCAAGCCAATTTTTATAATTTTCTTTTTCGCCAAGATTACCCACCGATTGAATTAGAAAAAAGTTCTCTTATTACAATTTTTTTATACATTATATTTTTCGGGTTTAATGTATTTTGACGATGAGAAAAGTTTACGAGGTTAAGCAAATACAAATATATAAATACATGGCTGGGGCAAGAGACAAATTCAGTCTTACCACTAAGTCCCTTAAAATAAGTGTCGAAGAAAAAAAAAATATATATATATATATATATATATATATATATACACAAAAATAAATATAAATATACGCAAAATAAATAAATATATATATATATATATATATATATATATATATATATATATATATATATATATATATATATATATATATATATATATATATATATATATATATATATATATATACAAAAGTGTAATGTATCCAAAAGTATATAAATACAAAAAAAAAAGGCTCTTGATGTAGTTTTTCTTGGTTTTATGGTTTTATATTTATAAACCATTTGATTTTATAAATTTAAAAGGTTTATAAACAAGTTGAACAAGATTGCATCTATTGTATATATTACATTTTAATATTGCACAAATTATGTTTCTTTCATTTTATTATCCAGAATGGACATACACTATCCCCCTAAATCCGTCACTGCTTTGTTGAGCCCGTAAACGGAAACATGACGAGTTGACGTCTATTGAGGTATCAGACTTAATTAGGAAAGGAAAAATGGTTTCTGAGGTTATAATTTTAGGTTACCATGGATCAACTTGTAATTGAGATTAAAAGGTGAAGACAATCTTATGCTTCTCTTGTTTTAGATTCTTTGTCCGTCTTTCAGTTATGGATTCTGTTGCAATCACAGCGTGCGTTAAAGAACTTTTTTAAATTTACCTAAGCGATGCGGAGATTTATATTCTGAATAAAAAACTGCATTACAAGAACTTTGTTTTAATTCAGTTGAAACTAATAATAGCGAATCCAAAAAAATAAATCATCTCAATTTATTTGTGGTTATTTAATCAAAGAAACTAATTAGTCTCAAACGTCGATGTTGTTCTAAGGATGTTTTTATTTGCTGTTACAAATTGTAACGGAGAAATGTCTTTTTTAAACTTCAAAAAGGGTATTGAAAAAAAGGACATTGCAACAATTCTAATAGTAGACAAAAAAAAAATATCTTTCAGCTCTAGCATTTATTTGTTCGTTTTCGGACAACCCAGTAGTTTTAATTAGCAATATATTAGCATATAAAAAAAAATCGACTTAAAAAACGGATACTATTTCGGAGAGGGAAGGAAGGATCTGGAGAGGCCTATTTTGATGGGGGTCCAGGATGACCTAAAGACGGGTCTGAGCGTGCGATCAAATGAGTGGCAAAAGTTGCTTTTGAAGGCACTCTTGAATATAAATTTCTGATGTCAAAGTTGATGACTTCACAAATGCTCTACTATTTTTTCCAGCCATAAAAGCAATTTTTCTTTTGGTACTTGATTGTAGTTCCATGATGGATTTTCTTCATAAATGTGCAAGATTTTTTTTTTTTTTCAAATTGCTTCAATGACATAAGTCATTGAAGCAATTTGAAAAAAGTTTTGAAATATTATTACAAAAATATTAAAATATTTTAATAAATTATTATTAGAACTTCTTTTTTTTTGTTTTTTTTTTAATGCTTTTTGACCACTACTATCATTACTGGATTAAAATATTATTGTTTTAATGTGTTAGTAGTTTATTTTGAAAGTGGTTTCCGTTTCTCATTTTTTTCGATATGCTTTATAATTTATTTATTTTTTTTGTTAACTTTCATTTTAAAAAAAATTTAACTTTTTTATCTAATGTGTAAATAGACTTTAATAAGATAAAATCTATTTACAAGTGCGTGTGAATAGACTCAACCTTTAAATAATTAGATATTGAAAAAATTATTTGAAAATAAATATCTTTTAACATTCATTAAGAATTAATGCAAATTTATTTTGATTTGAGCTTGAATTGAATTTTTTTTAAATAATCAGCAGTTATACGAAAATTGAATTTTTTCTTCAACAATTAAATTTTTTGTAACAGAATTACAAATTAAAAATGCGCTTTAGTCAAGCCAAATTTTTCGATTAGATTCTATTACTCATACTTATGTTTTATTAACAAAAAATTATTAAATACGATAATGATATCATTGGAAAGTTATGATGAATGAAAACTATTTTTTTAGAATTTGTTTATAAATAATTTAACAAAATTTTATATGGATATATATATTCTTTTATTAAATTGTTTAAAGCAATTTCTATAGAAATTAAAAGACATTTTATAGGAATTCCATATAAGTTCAATAAAATTTTGAAAGTTTATAGAAATTCTATAGAATTTTTTTTGTTTTTTTTTTTTGTTTTGTTTTTTTATTTTTTATTATTTTGCTGTTTAACAAAAATAATCAACATTTATTTTTGAATACTTTTTTGTGATAGCTATAAAAATAAATATTATTATTATTATTATAGTTGTAGCCGTAAATTTACATAGAATGTACACATACAGCGAGCAGGGGAAACACCCCACTATAAACAACCAGTTTTATAAATATTTGTTCCAAACTTTTTCCACAACCAGGAGTCTAGTCTATTTTTGAAAGAAAGTACAGTGGAGTACAAAGTTATTTGCTCTGGTAGATTGTTCCAGTATTTTGCTGATCTATTATACAAATGATTATATCTTGGAAGACAGTTTAGAACATACTCACGCCTTATTTTAGAATGGTGACCACGAGACACGGAGTTAATATATTTTGGTAGATATTTATCATTAACTATATCAAAACGATGTATTAATTTAAAAATTTGGATTAAATCGCATCGAAGGCGTCGAAACTCAAGTGATGGTAGGTTTAATCTTTTTAGCCTTTCGCAGTATTGAAGATGCCTCAAGCTGTAAGCCCATTTTGTAGCTTTGCGTTGAACAGATTCAACCAAAGCCATATCAGCTTTTAAAAAAGGAGCCCAAATGGACACTCCATATTCAAGATGTGGTCTTATAAATACTTTATATAATTTGAGAGCCATTTTTTCATCAATGAAAGTGAATGTCTTTTTCAGCATACCGAGAATTTGTAAGGACTTAGAGACAACTGTTTGAATATGAGCGCTCCACTTGAGGTTAGATGTAAAAATGACTCCTAAATCACGTTCTTTAGTAGAGCTTCTTAGAGATTGGTTGATTCCTTGGTTATTTTGAAGAAAGTAATTGTAATGGGGGTTGTTTCAACCGTAATGAATGACGCAGCATTTTGAAGTGTTTAGCTTAAGTAACCAAGTGTTTGACCACTCGTATACCAAGCGTAGACGATCCTGCAGATCAACAAAATTAGATTGCGATAAGGTTTTAGAAAAAAGTTCAACCTAGACGAACAGTTTTCATAAAAAAAAATTATTTCATTTCCAGTTGAACTTTTCTGCTTGACATTGTCATCTGCGTTTATACTTTATATAGCGACTTTCTCAAATCAACTAAGTAATATGTTTAAACTTTTTTCTAGCGTCACTTATGCTTTTTATTTAGAGAATAAGTAAGTAAATGTAAGGGTATTTGTTTAAAATAGATCTTATGTAAGATCTTGAGTTTTAAAACTCAACATCTTATCAACTTTTTTTAAGATGATAAGATGTTTTACAAAAGCACCTATCAATCATAAAGAGATATCACAGAGATCTACCGATTTAAATTTTTAAATATAAATTAAATTACCAATATAAATTTTTAAATATATATTTTGGCTTATTATAAATGACTACTAAATAAAATGACTTTACGATCCATTGATGCTCTTATTAAAACTTCTCTTCGCCCAAAACAGAAGTAGTGTTTAGACACCCTTGAGAATACTTAAGAAAGTAAAATTAGGAGAAAGAAAATAGTAGTGTATTAAAACAATATTATCATATATTAAACAATATTGTCATAACAAGATTGTATAAGTTTTCTTTTTCTTAATTGATAAGTTCAACTTGAATTTCTATCATACACTTTCGTTTCAATTGCATTTGTTTTTATCTCAATTTATATATTTTCTGTATGGCAACTGTCTTTCTGATCTTTAGATTTGAGGCATACTCTTACAGTTTTCTGAAAAAAGTATTTATGTCATTATCTCAATTTGCAAATCATAAAAGTTGCAGCATTTTTAATACTACCAAAAAAAGTCAGGGACTAATAAAACAAGGATTCACTGACAAAAATATAGAGCTGATGGCAAGTTATGCCTTATTTAAAGCACTTTATGTATTTTATGAGCATATTATAAGGAAATCATCAAAATTTGTATTTATGAAAATAACATATTTGTGTCAAAATGTATTACATTATTAACTAATAAAACCTATTGTCTTTTATATATAGATTGAAAAGCAATATTAAAAAAGATTTTATAAAAAAAAATGGAAGAAAAAATTGAAATAAAAATTGAATTCATTCAAAGTGTTTTTCAGTTATAAATATAACTAATTAATAAAATATTTTATTCACAAAAAAATGTTTATCTTGTATAGGGAAGTTTATCTGAATCACTCATTGCAGAGCTACGTGAAACATTTGATCTAATTGACAAAAACGGAAGTGGCACCATATCTAAAAAAGATTTAGAAACTCTTTTTAGAGGATTAGGTGTTTCAATATCAAGTGATGAAATTGATAGAATAATAAAAGAAGTTGATAGTAACAATGATGGAAAAATTGATTTTGAAGATTTTGTTAAAATAATGGCAAAACAAAAAAAAGAGGAAAACAACGAAGATATTAAAAAGGTAAAATAGGTGTTTTATATGTGTATATATATAAAAAATCTACATTTGCCGAATTACTTATCTAAAAGAGTCATATTGGTTTACTAAATAAGCTAAAAGTTCATTGATGGGATGTTACACACAAAACCAACCAACCCAACCCCTCACCCCTTTATGCTGGACTAGGTAGTTTATTCAATCCTAAAGATATTTCTGTTTTACCATGTTTACTTTTTGGACTTTTTATGAAACATTTTCTTGAAGTATCTTGTTAAACCTTTGACACTTAAAATTAAAAGAAAATTCTTTTGATATTTTTTTATTTTTGCAGTATTATGCTGTACAATGATTATGCATTAGCAATCTTATTCAAAAACTCTAATAGAAATGATATCATGAACCCAAGTTATTTATATTATATATTTATAAATTTCTTTAGTTGGACTAAAAACAAAGTCGTGTATATTTAATTAACAAAAAACTTAGTCGGTTAATTTTAGTTAATTAAAAAGTTAGTCGGCTAGTTTTAGTTAGACTAAAAAGTTAGTCGGATAATTTTAGTTAGCTAAAAAGTTAGTCGGATAATTTTAATTGAGTTTTGTTAGTCGGATAATTTTAGTTGAGTTTAGTTAGCTAGAAAGTTAGTCGGGTAATTTAAGTTAACTAATCGACTAATTTTAGTTAACTAAAAAGTTATTCGGGTAATTTTAGTTAACTAAAAAGTAGTCGACTGATTTTACTTAACTAAAAAGTTAGTCAACTAATTTAAGTTAACTAAAAAGTTAGTCGGGTAATTTTAATTAACTGAAAAATTAGTCGACTAATTTTAGTTAATTAAAAAGTTAGTCGCCTAATTTTAGTTACGGTTTTTTTAGTTTAGTTACCCAGCAAACATCAAGCAGACGGACCGATAACGGACCGCTGTCAGCACTTATGGCGTGCCGACGTCAGCCGCCCGCTGCTTTGCCGCGTTGGCTTGCGCATCGTATTTACATCGGTCCGTTAGCGGAAAACTGAAGATGGTTCGACAGCGGACCGATGGCGGCAAATCGACAACGTTCGAACAACGGTCCGTCAGCGGCTAACCGATGATAAAGCCATAGCGGAATAGCCTAGGATCTATAATAAGTTTTGACTAAGATTTGAATGCATCGCTATAAATGTAATTAAATTTGTTTTTTTGTTTGAATAGAACGCACTTATCGTTAGCAAAAATATTTATATCTTTCAGCTCAAATTTTTACTCATAAAAAAATGCAAATTCTGCCAATGCTGGAAGACACATCAAATACCTTTTGACTTAGTGCATAGGTATATAGAAAAAACACGAATTTATTATACTAAAATTCTCCTACCACCGAAAAACACTACCTCAAATGTAAATCATTAGGTCATACGTGGCAAGGCTTAAGCTCGGTGAACAAAAAGACTAATCAGAAGTTATAATAAAAATCATTTTAAAATTGCAATTTACAATTACAACATGAATAATAAAGTAACAATAATTTTTTTTTAAACTAAAGCAAAATATAAAGTATATTTGCATCTATAGACTATTGCTTCACTTGCGTTTAGCGAACGTTTAAAATGTAAAATAGTTAATTTTCAACATATCCATAAGTTCAGTTTATTCTCATTTCAATCGAAAACTAAATATATTCAGGAAATCGTGTGTTGAAAATTGATTTACGTTGCAGTCTGCAGACTTCTAACTTTCACCTAAAAGCAGGCAATGATATATAATGAAAATATTGAAACAGTCAAGTTTAGAGCTATTACAACAAAGATAATAAACTAACCTTCTCAGCCCTTAAAAACGTGTTTGTTTGAAATAGTCTGATCACCAGTTATTGACAATTAACTTCAGATACTAAGTGCATCTACATTGAATAAATATAAATATAATTTTATTATTTAAGCATAAATTAAAACATTAAAAACAACAAAAACATTGCTTAAATTGAAAAGCTATGGAAATAACTTTAAAAAAAAAAAAGCTATATAAAAATAAATTCATATTGCGTGCCTTTTTAAAAAAATAAAACTTCATATACAGTAACCTACCTGGTATACCTAATCCTATAAATAAGCTTGAGGGGTTTATGAACAATAGAAATTGTTATTTCATTAAAAAAATTATCTTTAATTTTAATTTTAATTTAACAAATAAAATAGTATTTAAAAAAGAGATACTTATATGCCAGGTTGGAAGTAAAACCGTAAAACCCACAGCAACTTAAGTACAATGGTGAACCTTTTGCAAAGCATAAGCCTTAGACACAAGTGCACATCTGGAAAAGAAAGAATCAGAGACAGAACACATCAATAAAAATATATTTTGATAAACTAAAATATAGTTTGCACATTGAACATAGTTTTCACCATACAAAAAAAAAACAAAAAAACATAATATACTATGCAATATAATATACTATAAAAATTCCTTGAAAAATATAAAAAGTCAAATAATTGATTGAAATAAAACGGTTTAATAAAAAAAAGTATATAATTTTTTTTAATAAATTATTTGTAAGCATATAGAGAGCAAATAAATATGTTTAAAGAAAATATGATTTAAATCCAGTTTGCAAATCAAACAACTATCTTATGGGTATAAGACCCATGGCAATATTTGGATCATGGTCAACATAATTCTATGTAATATAACCCTGGTTGAGGTAAACGGTTTCCTGTAAAGAAATAATATTAAATCATAAATGTAACATAAAATTACAAGCATGTTTGAACGGAATTCTTAAAGCAATCCTTTAAAATAATGGCTTGTAAAATAAAATTTTTGTTAGATTTTTATATTTTAAAGCTTATAGTTATATCTAAATTTAATATAATCAAACAAATCAAACAGTAGACAGACTCCAGAACTTATATATATATATATTTTTTTTTTTCAAAAATTAAAAAAAAACAACATTAAAACAAATAATATCAAAATAATAAAATTAATCTTACTTTATTCTCTGGTAAGATTCAATATCACGATTTAAATTCTCATCTACAATCTCATATACAAGAGGTTACTGTAAAAGGGAATGAATATGAAAAACATGGAATCAGTAATACTCATTGCACAAAAACTTTACTCTATTGAGTTTAAAAATTAAAATATTTAAAAATATATTAAATATTGTAAAATAAAGATAACAAACTTGTAAATAAAGATGCTTATTTTATTTAACAATGTTATTCATCTTCTGAACTAAAAAATGTCTCTTTATTTAATAGCATTGGAAAACTTAATGTAGGCATCACTTTTTTCTTGGCTTGTTTGTTTTTTTTAGTCTTGTTTAACTTTTTGTCCGCCATTGTGGTCTGATGCACCACGCAAAAAACGCACAACCTCATATTGAAAATCTGATTCAGTTGCTAAAGTTGTTGCAGGATTTCTTTTTACAGCTCCTAAAAATTAATTCAAGACTTTTATTTAACTATCTAGCAGGAAAACAAAAAATATATTTTTTTTAACTTAAATTCAGAAATATATAGAATTTTTTTTAAAGCTATTTATTAAAAAATTTTATTTATCTATTTATCAACTTTTTATTTATATATAGTTAATAAATAAATTTTATTTATTTATCAACTATTTATTAACAAATAGATTAGTAATAACTAAATTAGACACAAGTAATTATTAAATTAGAGTGTAAAGTGTAAGTCTTTTAAACTTTGTTTTACAAAGTTACTTTCATTGTCATTTCTGGTAATACCAGACCAGTTAAGTTTACAGCAGTGGTTATTAGTGAATAACGCAAAGGACATTCTCCAGACAGCCTCCTTTACTTGCCACAACTATTATCTACAAAAAACATAGAAAAAACATCAGTAATATATAATATATATTACTGTTTTTTTTTTCTATGTTTTTTGTAGATAATAGCTGTGGCAAGTTAAGGAGGCCAGACTTTTTTTTTTTGTGGTACACCAGTTTTTTTGTGGTACACACTTTTTTTTTTTGTGGTACACCAATATTTAATGGCAATAATTTGATATCTATTTTTTTTTTTTAATTTTTTAAAAATATTCTTTAGTATATTATATACTGAAGAATATTTTTTAAAAATATTCTTTAGTATATTATATACTGAAGAATATTTTTTAAAAATATTCTTTAGTATATAATATACTAAAGAATATTTTTAAAAAATAAAAAAAAAAATAGATATCAAATTAATGCCATTAAATATTGCATAACATTGAAATATTACTTAAAATACCTTGTCTAATGCCAAAATGACAATACTGTCCTCCAGTTATATTGGTAACAGGTACAAAAGACTTTGACGTAGAGTGCGTGGATCCTTTGGCAATTCAGGAAACAATTTACTCAAAAATTTTAAAAAAGATGCTAATGCTTCATCGGTTATAGCAAACTTAACTGCCCACTGCATCAAATCATTTTTTAGTTCATCATTGTTATTCATCAATTGTTTCAAAATCTGATGACTCTAATGGGTAAGATTCAGAATCAGAAATTGTTAGATTACTGTCAGAGTTCATTTCACAATCAATATTATTTGCACCTGAAGGAATAACACTCTCAGTTGAAAGTTTTCGATCTGATATACTCTTTAAATACAATGATTGTACTTCTTTTGGTAAATGTGAAATATTGCTTGATATTGGTAATCTTTTAGGCAATATTCAACATCAGCTATTATTTTTTGTCGTTTTGTCCAAAAGCTCACTATTGAAACTTACATAAATTGTTTTATTTACTAAAACTGGTACATATTTAAAAATGCATATAATATGAGTGTGTGTGTGTGTGTGTGTGTGTGTGTGTGTGTGTGTGTGTGTGTATGTGTGTGTGTGCGTGTTTATATATATATATATATATATATATATATATATATATATATATATATATATATATATATATATATATATATATATATATATATAACTTCATATTAGTATAACATTGTTCTTGTTATATTAAAATTTATACAACTAGCCATGTAACTTTTAATATAACAAGAACAATGTTATACTAATATGGTTATAACATTGTTACATAACTGTAACAATATTGTTAAAGTTATATATGTTTAAAATAAAATCAAATTAGTACTTTTAACTTTGAGTCTTTTAAATATATATTGAACCTATATGTATATTTATACTTTATATCTATATCTATACTAAGTATAGATATAGATATAATATATAGTAATCTATACTTAGTATAGATATAGATATAATATATAAGTATAGATATAGATATAAATTATAAACATAGATATAAATATAATATATTATATAATATAAAGTATAGTATACTTTATAATATAATACTTTATATTACTTTATAATTTCTAATATAGATATAGGTATAAAATCATGTCACTTTTAATATTTATAAGCAATAACTTTAGCTATATTTTAAAATATAAAGTATACATGTAGATTGAATATAAATTTATATATATAACCTATATTGTAAGACTTAAAAATAAAAAGACTACTTTGATTTTTTTTTAATACTTTTTATTTATTACTTACTGTTTTACATAGACTATGTAATACAATATAAAATATAAAAATCGATCAATATAAGTCTCATGGCGCTTGAAATGCTACTTACTTTTGGTGTTTTTACGACATCTTACCGCTATCCGGGAGCCTCCTCGGGCATTGTGTTAGCAAAACTACAACGTATCGTCATAAACTTACCAAAGCTGGCATGCCTATTTAAAATCGCATTGGCAACGAGGTGTTTATCGCTCTTCAACCGATGGCGGAAAGCCAACACAAAATAGCATGCCGGTCCTGCATCAGCTACCCGGCAGCGGTAAGCCTTATTAGGAATCACAAAGGGCCAGCACCGGGTTTCCGGCGGCGGCTTTGCGCATCGCGGTCCGCTGAAAGCATGTTTGCTGTGTAGTTACAATTTTTAGTTTTGGTCACAATACTAAATTTGACATAAAAATATACGTAAAATAAATCGGTGTTTTAAAACAAATGACAATAATATTTTGTTCTATAAAAATAGAATAAAATATTATTTTCATTTCTTTTTTAATAATATTTTATTCTAGTAAAACAGTTTTACGATTCTTTTTGCTAAACATTTCAAAATAACTAATTTTTTTTTCAAACTCTAGGTCATAATTTGATAGCTTCTTTCTTATTCAAATTATTGACAACCAGTTTATAAACTGGTTGTCAATAATTTGAATATGTAGAAAAAGTCTTTTTTTATGTAGAAAAAAAAGGTTTCACAGCAATTTCTATATTTCTAAATAGAGATTCTATTGAACTTCTATATAATTTCTATAAACCAAGTTTCAAAGGTTATTAGAAATTCTATAGAACCTTTATTCTTGGGAAGTTTCTGAATCAAAATTAGATTCAATCCAAATGTTCCAGTTGAAAAAATAAATGTTGGATTCCTATTACAAATATTTTTGTAAAAGTATACTCAATTGAGTATACTCAATTGAGTATACTCAATTAAGTATACTCATATGAGTATACTCATTTGAGTATACTCATTTGAGTATACTCATTTGAGTATACTCATTTGAGTATACTCAATCAGTTTACTTTTACAAAAATATTTGTAATAGGAATCCAACATTTATTTTTTCAACTGGAACATTTGGATTGAATCTAATTTTGATTCAGAAACTTCCCAAGAATAAAGGTTCTATAGAATTTCTAATAACCTTTGAAACTTGGTTTATAGAAATTATATAGAAGTTCAATAGAATCTCTATTTAGAAATATAGAAATTGCTGTGAAACCTTTTTTTTCTACATAAAAAAAGACATTTTCATAACAGTTTCTATAAAAGTTATTAAAATACTTAGAAACGTTATAAAATTCTATAAAAACTCTATATATTTAGATATATGTTTCACTATATACTACGCTATCTGTTTCAATGGTTATTAAATATCACTTTTTTTCCTGGGAAGTTTCTGCATAAATATTGAGTATACTGCAAATGTTCCAGTATATAGAAAAACATAGAATGCATTCCACTAAAACTTCATAAAAATTGTAATTTAAAAAAATGTTTTTTTGACTGTTTATACTTATAGATTATTAAAATATACACTTTATAGGTCGTAAAAGTCGCGTACATATAAATTAAAAATTTAGCTGAGACAACTTGACGCTACCAAAATTACAAAGTTTTTAAAATTAAATAAAATACATTTAAGACCTAATACTTTGGAAAAAATGCCGTCGCAATTTTGTAAAAGGTTTTTAGTACTTAAAACAAAATAGTTAATGTACTTTTACTCAACAAAAATGATTTTTAACCAAAAATAAATAATTAATACAAATTTGTAATGAGAATAATGCGAAAACTTGCATTTCGTTAGGAAAAAAAAAAGTATAAGGACACAATTTTTACTTTAATATTTTTAATTTTTTTAAATTTTTTTTATTAAAATGTAACTTTAGACTGTTCAATACAAAGTTTTATAATTTTTCTGCTTTTAAAACAATTTACTTTCAAATTTTATACTTAAAGTTGCGTTTTGTCAGTAATATAAAAATTTAAAACAAAATTTTCTCTTCTTCATGATAAAGGTAATTTAACGAAAAGAATAAAAAATGTTTTAAAAGGATCTCCAGAACAAAATACGGCCATTTCAAAAACATTATTAGCTCAAAATCAACCGTTATTTCAGTTAGATTGTAGCATGAAAAAGTTTATCTGGTGATATTATCAAGTTAAAAATTTTTTTTATTTGAGTGAAGATATAAGCAGAGCATCACTAAATAGATCAGACAATGTTAAAGCTTGTGAAAAGTTAATGAAAAACCTAATATTAAACATTTGTGAAAGGAAAAGTTTAATGTTAAACTCTTGATATACTCTCTTAAGGAAGTTTATTGGATACTTACTTTGCTTTAATTTGTTGATTGTTGACAAACAGCGAAATGCACTTGAGTTTCACATTTAAGAACCCGCTTATCGAGTGCTTCATGAACGATTGCGAATAATGTACTAAATGTATATAGAATAATGGAATACATGTTCTGAATATTTAGACTTTGAAACATTAAATTGAGAATCAAAATTATCAATTAACTTGACAAAAATGAGTAAAAACTTAATCAAAAGAGACTCGTCGTAACATTTATTGCAATATTGAGAAAATTTCTAAGAATGGGTCAATAAATGAATTATTATTTGAAATATACGAACTAGTACGTAATTATTTTGATCATGCATATACAAAAATTAATCAAGTATATCATCAAATGATTCATAAACGTATGAAACCAAATTGTAATGAAGTTATCGTTGGTGTTGGTTTTGCAGAAAATATTAAATGCATTACTTAAAATGAACCATAAAGCGCTCATTACTGCCAGACTCTGATTTCAATATTTACTTCAACTGTATATCATTTATGACATTTGCAATCGCCTGCAATTGCATCACATTATTAGAAGCACTCAAAAGAATCCGTAATTTCTTTTATGGATGTAATTATAGAACCAGAACTGCTAAAAACCGTTCCAAAAGTTACATTTTGAAGTTATAATTTCTTATCTCAATTCAAAAATAAGTATATAATAAAGTCTTTACAAAGGTCACAGAAGCGAAACAAAAAAATAATTAATTAGTTTTTTGCACCCATACACAGCAAACCTATTGTTGGCGGAAATGAAGGATTTGTTATAAAAACCAGAATACTGGCTCAAAATTAGTTTTTAATAAATACGACAGTTCACAATTTGTATAGGCAGTAAAAAATATGGGGGCAGGGTTGAAAAGTAGTGATATAAAACATGAAAAAAAAAATGTTCTAACTGTTCCAACATTTTTCATTAGCAGAATAGTTAAATTTACAATTTAAATCTTAAAGATAAATATAGGACTGTTAGCTGCCCTTCATCAACCTTTTAATGTCAATCTATAACCTTTACAATAAACAGAATAACTTAATAACTTAAAAAACAGAATAAATTAAACTTGGAATATCTAGAATGCATCTAACTTTTTTAAAGGACTTCACTATTTTTTTAGAAATACCCAAGTATGATGTGTTTCAAAAAAAGATTTACATTTTTTTAGCATGATGTTAGAAATTGCATTACATTTTATACAAAAAGTATGAATCCTTCCATGACAAATTTTAAGTAAAAAGTTTTTTCTTATCGGCCGTATAAGTGATGACTTTCTTAAATTCTTCAGAGTATTAAATTTTAAGGAGCTCTACTAAGATTTAAGTGCAGCTCAAGCTAAATTAATCGGAAACATTTTTTATAGGGATTGAATTTGGTGTCGTTCCGTGACAATGAATGTGTGTCCTTCCGTGAAAATTGGATTACTTCTTGAATAAGTTTATTTTATACTTGTGTAACTACATTTTATGATTTTTTATGATTTTTTGTTCCTTTTTGTTTTCAGACTATAACTAATTTAAAAAAAAAGGGAAAGCCTGGTTCACAAAGGTAGAAAGAATATTCATCTAGACTGAAGGAAATTAATAATGAGAAATATCTTAAAAAAGAAAGAGAGCGATACAAGGCAAAGTTAGAACTTTTAAAGCAAAACTCTAAAGAATATGAGTCTAAGTTGAAAAAAGAAAGACAAAGAGAAAAGTTGGAAAGAGCTTTGAAAAAGAAACAAATGTTAAAATATTATTTTATATGTAATTAGCACTTTTTATAATTGCAAATATTTTTGCTTTTATTGTAAAATTATGCCATTTATTTAGATTTTTGTATGTTATTCATATGATTTATTATAATTCCTTATGTATTTTATTAATATGTTTTTGTTTACTTATTTTTTTTTCTTTGGATAAAAATTATCTTATTATCAGATGGAAACAGTACACAAAGATGGAACAACTAATCAAGTGGTATATCGTTCATTAGCAAAATTAAAACAAGCTATGCCAAAAAAAAGTCCACTTCAAGTTAAAGTTTTATCTGCTCTTGTGCAAAATTTATCACCAAAAAAAAACTTTTTTTTTAATTCTAGAAGAAAGCTATCTTTTAAAAATGGAAGGCCATCAATGATACAGGTAAACAAAGAAAAAGTAGTTCATTTTTTAGAGCAACCAGATATAAGCTATTGTCACAGTGAGGAAAGATACTGTTTACTGTGGAAAATCTAATGGTGTTAAAGTCTATCGTTCAAAGCATTAGATGCTTTATACATACAGAGAACTTGTTTACTTATTTAATAAAGAGAATTACATTAAAATCACTTATCATCAGTTACGAGAAGATATTAATGCTGAAAATAACCTGATTATGCTTAGTAAAACACCAGAAGAGGATTGTCGATGTGAAACTTGTGAAAATGGTCAACTTTTGCAACAGGCAATAAAAAAATATTTTATCAAATAAAAAAAAATGAAATTGTTGAAAATCCTGGAAAAACCATAATATCTGATTTGTGTCAAGAATTTAAAAAAATTGATGTTTTTCCATATTACCGATGGATAACCTCAAAAAAGGTTGTCTGCAAAGTTCAAGAAAAAGCTACTGTTGAAGAAGCTGCAATGCTTTCATCAGAAATGGTTGATGGCAGCAAAATAAAAATGCATAAGTATAATATTTACCGTAAATTTTAAGTTAAAATGGCTGAAGGCAAATCTCAAAGAAGATGAAGTAATAATCAATGTCAATTTTTCTAAGAACTACAAAAATAAACAACTCCATGAGATCCGGAGTGTTTATTTTGGGCATTTTACCATATTTACAGCAGCTTGTTACTTCACAGTTCAGAATGGTAAACTTGATAAAAATTTTAATTTGCTGAAGTTTCCAGTAGCAATTATATCAAATGAAACGAAACATAATCGCAATGTTGCATTTACAAACAACAACTGGCTTGTAAGCATCATCAAGGGTATAGCTCCATCAGTTTCCACTTTCCATTTCTAGAGTGACGGATGTGCTGGTCAGTTCCGATCTCAATTTGTCTTTCGGTTCTTCTCTTACCACCCTGAAAATATTACATTGACTTGGAGTAATAGTAAGGCAAATCACTTTAAAGGACCCCATGATAGAATTGGTGGAACTATTAAAAATCAAGTTTACAGGGATGTTTTGTCATCTAAAGTTGTAATTGAAAATACTAAACAGTCTTTTGAAGTAGCTGATTGGCTATGTGAAATAACAGTAATATACTTAGACACAAAATAAATTGAGTCACCAATTTAAATGATAGCGTTTATAATCAATGAACTTTAAAGGTTCACCATGTTAGATGATTAAATCAAAATTCAGTTAACTTATATGTAAACAGCACCTTTAAAAAATCATCAGATGTTTATAAATTGTTGGCATGGGAAAAAAATAAAAGAGAAGCTGAAGGAGAAATTCAAAATTATTGACAATGATGAAAAAATCTATGAACTCTATGAAAATTTTGTTTTTGTTTGCTTAAAAAAGAATTGTATGATAGACTCATTAATGTGTACTTTTTGTCCTTCAGTGACATGTCCTTCCATGACATTAAATGACTTTAATTGATTTGGAATAAAAAAAAAAATTTATATTTGTCAAGAGTACTTTTGTAAGTTTAACTTAAAGGTCTTATATCTTTTTAAAGGAACTTTTTTTTTTGCTGTATCTTTATTAATTTTGATAGAATTTAAACCCAAAATGGAAAGTTAATTTTACGGCTTTTCTATCGTACCTTCCGTGACACAAGTTTTGAAGGCCTGTTGCAGAAACTTCAGAACTCTACAAATAATGTTTTTAATCCCAATTACTATTGCTTTATTGGTAGTTTTAAAAATATCATCAAAACCCTCTACGCGCTTTTATTTTTTATTTAGTTTACAATTTAGTGTATCAATTTCCTTCCGTGACAAAAACATTTTTACTTTTCAACCCTGCCATGGGTGTCAGGTTTATTTTGGTTAATGTTGATGAAATTTATAAACAAAGCGACAAAATTGGATTGTCAAAAATAATATCCTCATTGAAATCTTTACCAGGAATTAGGTAAAAATTTTGATGAGGAAAAAAAAATTATTTTTAAGTTCGAAATATTACACAAAGAAAAAAACTGTTGAGAAAATTTTTGGCATCGTATTAGATTTAAAATGTTTATTTCCTTTATAATAAACTTTTATTTTTGAATAAATAAACTTTATATATAATATATTAACGAAACTATAATAATATACTATTTTATGGTAAATAGCGTGGAAAGAGAATAAAAAAATAAGAATCTATTTTTCTTTTTTATGTTGTTTGGTATAGTAATCTGGTCTTTTGATCTTCTAGGCAAATTCAACAAACAGATAACAAAACCAAGCAAGTTTATAGTTAATTTTAAAATTACAGTTGAAGAAACCTTTTATTAACTTTTTTTAATTAGAATTTTAATTTCAAATTAAAAAAAAATCTTTGACACTTAAGCGCATTTTCATTTTGTAAAATTATTAATAAAAGAAGATTAAAAATGAAAACTTTGGCTAAAAACAGAAAAAAATTTTGTTAATAAATATTTTGAGCTAAACAAAATTATCAATAACTTAGAAAAGGATAAATTATAAACTTCACAATTAATAGAGGAATCTAGTGACTCTTAAACGCTCTACCGGACCTCATCTTGGCTGTATAACTGAAGTAAGAGTTAAAATTTGAAATAACAGTCAACTGCAAAACATGGAGTAAATATAACATTTGAAAACATGCAATGGTTGCATATTTTTAAACATGCAGTGACTGCAACGTTTGAAAACACGCAGTGGCTGCAACATTTGAAGACATACAATGACTGCAACATTTGAATAAGCAGATATTACTGATAAAATACCCATTTTGGCACTTTTTTTTTTTTTTATTCTTATTACAATATACTATGGTATAAATATCGTTTTACATTAAATATCAGAACACGGAGACTCAAAGAGGATCGTAAGATCCTGTCACTGAGAATCGTTTAGCAATACAGTAAAAATAAAACCAGTTAAATAATTACAATAAATGACGTTTAAAAATAAAATTTAAATTTAACCAGATATTTCAAAACATAAAATAACGTTTAAGAACATAAAGAATATATATAAAACTAAATATTTCAAAATATTCAGGAACCACACACTTTTTTAAAAGGTATAAACTCAAAAGAACTCAAAGATATTATCAATTGACAAGATAACTTTTTTCAACTTTTAAAAGTAGGAAAAAATCAAATTTTTTTTTACTTTACACTTACTTTTACTTTTTACACTTACTTTACATGTGCTGAGAGTTTACATGTGCTGAGAGTTTGCATGTGCTGAGAGTTTACGTGTGCTGAGAGTTTACATGTGCTGAGAGTTTACGTGTGCTGAGAGTTTACATGTGCTGAGAGTTTACATGTGCTGAGAGTTTATTACATTGTACCATTAGAACATCAAAGTACGCATAAAACCTTTTATTCCAAATTATACTGTTACTTTGCAAGTCGGAGGACAATTTGCTCAGTTAAATTAAAAAAATTTCAATCTAAGAAAAAATTGTCTGCTTTGTAAAATTACAAAAAAGATTTGAAAAATATCAGAGTTGTAAAAATTAAAGCTGGATGAAAAAAGTAAACACAATCATTAACAAAATTAACACATTTCTCAACAATTTTTAAAATTTATATATATAGAGTAGAAATTGTTGATTTTAGGTATAACTGCTAATATGTATATGTGTATGTAGGTATGCATGTATGCTTGCAATAAAAAATAATTTTCTCATGTTATTTTTATTTTAATATTATTTTTTTATAAATGTGGAAACTTCTAAAAATGCACTAATAATGATTTGTTTTTATAACTGATGTCAAAACCTCTGAACCTATCTGGTTAAACTATTTAGGCATTCGACGTATTTGATAAAGATGGAAACGGGAAAATAACTGCTGCCGAACTTAAAATAACAATGCAAACTTTGGGAGAAGAGTTAAATAATGAAGAAATTGATGAAATGATACAAGAAGCAGACCTTGACGGGGATGGAGAGATAGACTACAAAGGTTTAAGCAATATAGGGTTTTGAAGGGGGTTAAGAGTTAAACTTTATAAAGTTATTATTAATAATTATGAATAATATTAAGTCAAAAATTATTAATAATAAACTAGTGATACATAGATTACATGTAATATGCCAGCTGGCACAACGTCGTTTAAAGTTACCGATAGTTTCTATTGCAAGTTTAAAACCTTCTAAAACAAAAAGAATAACAAGTGTTTTACCGTATTCGAATAACATGGTTTTGCCGTAAAAGAAACGTTGTATAATATTAGTCTAATATTATACCAAGTATAATACTAAACTAAGTTTTTGTAGCAAATGTGACACCAGTAATAAAAGCACGCAACAATTAAACTTGACTTTAAAATATCATAAAACACGAGTTAAATTCGAGTAAAACTGGCTGTGAAACAAATTTATTTTCGGTTTACGTTTGGATCGTGACACACACGTGTCATTACAGTTTTTAAATAAAAATGTATGTGCCGGCTGGAAAGATTATATTACATGTAATTACATATTCATGTCATCTTATAATTTTAACTTCAATTTTAATTTATATAAATATCATAATTATTCTCACGTATTTAATACATGGCGTGGTAGAAATAAAACGGGTGGTGGGAATCTCTGATCAGATCAATTAAACGGGGTTGTACTATTAGAAGGGCGTAGAAGAATAACTGTTTTATCATCATTTCAATTGAATTTAATATGCTTAAATAAGCTTTATACTATAATGAGGGTTATTATGCACTTAGTAGTGAAACTAAAAGCTGATTTTTGACCAATCGAGAA